AGGCGGCGCTATCAGCGTGACCGTTGGCACGTGCGGCGCGGCCACAGGAGGTGCAATGTCAATGACCGCGGGCCAGGGTGCAACCCTTGGCGGCGGCGTGACCGTGACCGGCGGCGTCGGCGTTAGTTCCACAGGCGGCGGCATCACCGTGGTGAGCGGCGTCGGCACGGCAACATCGAGCGGCGCCGTGAGCGTGAAGTCAGCAAACGCCGGTACGAGCGGCGTGAGCGGGTCCATGACTTTGGCGACCGGGACATCGAGTGCTGGTGTGTCGGGAGCGTTCACGATGGACACGGGCACTGCCACCGGCGGCAACTCGGGGAGTGTTGCTGTGACGACTGGCGGTGCGAGTACTAGCGGCACTGGTGGCGCTTTCACTGTGGCCGTGGGCGACGGCGACACGGGCACAGGCGGCGACATCGGCATGACCGCGGGCAAGTCCAGTGCGGCCGCGGGAGGTGCCGTGGGCGTGACCGCGGGCCAGGGTGCAACCCTTGGCGGCGGCGTGACCGTGACCGGCGGCGTCGGCGTTAGTTCCACAGGCGGCGGCATCACCGTGGTGAGCGGCGTCGGCACGGCAACATCGAGCGGCGCCGTGAGCGTGAAGTCAGCAAACGCCGGTACGAGCGGCGTGAGCGGGTCCATGACTTTGGCGACCGGGACATCGAGTGCTGGTGTGTCGGGAGCGTCACGATGGACACGGGCACTGCCACCGGCGGCAACTCGGGGAGTGTTGCTGTGACGACTGGCGGTGCGAGTACTAGCGGCACTGGTGGCGCTTTCACTGTGGCCGTGGGCGACGGCGACACGGGCACAGGCGGCGACATCGGCATGACCGCGGGCAAGTCCAGTGCGGCCGCGGGAGGTGCCGTGGGCGTGACCGCGGGCCAGGGTGCAACCCTTGGCGGCGGCGTGACCGTGACCGGCGGCGTCGGCGATAGTTCCACAGGCGGCGGCATCACCGTGGTGAGCGGCGTCGGCACGGCAACATCGAGCGGCGCCGTGAGCGTGAAGTCAGCAAACGCCGGTACGAGCGGCGTGAGCGGGTCCATGACTTTGGCGACCGGGACATCGAGTGCTGGTGTGTCGGGAGCGTTCACGATGGACACGGGCACTGCCACCGGCGGCAACTCGGGGAGTGTTGCTGTGACGACTGGCGGTGCGAGTACTAGCGGCACTGGTGGCGCTTTCACTGTGGCCGTGGGCGACGGCGACACGGGCACAGGCGGCGACATCGGCATGACCGCGGGCAAGTCCAGTGCGGCCGCGGGAGGTGCCGTGGGCGTGACCGCGGGCCAGGGTGCAACCCTTGGCGGCGGCGTGACCGTGACCGGCGGCGTCGGCGATAGTTCCACAGGCGGCGGCATCACCGTGGTGAGCGGCGTCGGCACGGCAACATCGAGCGGCGCCGTGAGCGTGAAGTCAGCAAACGCCGGTACGAGCGGCGTGAGCGGGTCCATGACTTTGGCGACCGGGACATCGAGTGCTGGTGTGTCGGGAGCGTTCACGATGGACACGGGCACTGCCACCGGCGGCAACTCGGGGAGTGTTGCTGTGACGACTGGCGGTTCCACCGGGGGTTCGGGCGGTGCTTTCAGCGTGACCGTTGGCACGGGCGACTCGGGCACGGGCGGTGCTATCACGATGTCCGCTGGCAAAGCCCCTGTTGGTGGTGCTGTCACGATCACCGCAGGTGTTGGCTCTACCACCTCTGGCGGGGATCTCGTCCTTGCGAGCGGTGATGGCGTGTCGTTGAGCGGCGCGGTGAGCATCAGCTCTGGGGATGCGTCCACTGGCAGAAGTGGTGAAGTCATCATTGCCACGGGCCTTTCACCCGGTGGTAAAGCTGGGGATATCAGCTTGACCGTTGGGGGGACTACGTCGGGCGTGGGCGGTGACGTGAGCATCTCTGCCGGCGCGACATCGGACACCACGAAAGCCGGAGGGCAGGTCGACATCGTGTCAGGCAGAGGCGAGACCTCGAGCGGAACGATGCACGTGCACACGGGTGATTCAAAAGCGAATGGCGTGAGCGGGGCGATGACCCTCCAGACCGGGACGTCGCTCGCAGGCGTGTCAGGCAAGTTGAAGCTCAACACCGGCACTGCAACTGCTGGGTCTTCAGGTGAAATCGACCTCGACACCGGCGGTTCCACCGGTGGCGCTGGCGGCGCTTTCAGCGCGACCGTTGGCACGGGCGACACCGGCACAGGCGGTGCAATCTCAATGACCGCGGGCCAGGGTGCAACCCTTGGCGGCGGCGTGACCGTGACCGGCGGCGTCGGCGTTAGTTCCACAGGCGGCGGCATCACCGTGGTGAGCGGCGTCGGCACGGCAACATCGAGCGGCGCCGTGAGCGTGAAGTCAGCAGACGCCGGTACGAGCGGCGTGAGCGGGTCCATGACTTTGGCGACCGGGACATCGAGTGTTGGTGTGTCGGGAGCGTTCACGATGGACACGGGCACTGCCACCGGCGGCAACTCGGGGAGTGTTGCTGTGACGACTGGCGGTGCGAGTACTAGCGGCACTGGTGGCGCTTTCACTGTGGCCGTGGGCGACGGC